AGAGATTTGACCTTATTGATTTAAATCAATAGCCGATGCTCAGGGTTGCGCACGCTCCACACGCACGATCTCCGCAGAGGGTTGCGCGCGCACAGACCCAATCGCACTCTCGCCAGCATTTCGCGCACTCCACACGCACGATCTCCGCAGAGGGTTGCGCGCGCACAGACCCAATCGCACTCTCGCCTGCATTTCGCACACTCGACACGCACGATCTCCGCAGAGGGTTGCGCGTACACAGACCCAATCGCTCTCTCGCCTGCATTTCGCGCACTCGACACGCACGATCTCCGCAGCAGGTTATCATTGCGCCCGCACAGACCCAATCGCACTCTCGCCTGCATTTCGCGCACTCGACACGCACGATCTCCGCAGAGGGTTGCGCGCGCAGAGACCCAGTCGCACTCTCGCCTGCGTTTCACGCACTCCACACGCACGATCTCCGCAGAGGGTTGCGCGCGCACAGACCCAATCGCACTCTCGCCTGCGTCGCGCGCGCTCGACGCGAACGATCTCCGCAGAGGGTTGCGCGCGCGTGCAGACCCAGTCGCACTCTCGCCTGCATTTCGCACACTCGACACGCACGATCTCCGCAGAGGGTGCGCGTGCACAGACCCAATCGCACTCTCGCCTGCGTTTCGCGCACTCGACACGCACGATCTCCGCAGAGGGTTGCGCGCGCACAGACCCAATCGCACTCTCGCCTGCATTTCGCGCACTCGACACCTCGACATGCGCGATCTCCGCAGAGGGTTGCATTTTCGGTTGACGCTGTTCGCCCCACCCTCCGCCTTTAAGAGAGAATTTATAAAGTGGGGAAATGTTTTTCGTTAGGACATCTCCCGTGCAAGTATTTTTCCAATACACGCATACTCATTGCATACTCATGTATACTTGCCGTTGGATGCTACTTGCATCCTTTCACTGGGATACTTGCCGTTGGATGCTTACACTGGGGTGCGTATAGCACTCGACACGCCTGATCTCCGCAGCAGGTTGCGCGCGCACAGCCCCAATCGCACTCTCGCCTGCATTTCGCGCACTCGACACGCACGATCTCCGCAGAGGGTTGCGCGCGCAGAGACCCAGTCGCACTCTCGCCTGCATTTCGCGCACTCGACACGCACGATCTCCGCAGAGGGTTGCGCGCGAACAGACCCAATCACACTCTCGCCTGCATTTCGCGCACTCGACACACACGATCTCCGCAGAGGGTTGCGCGCGAACAGACCCAATCGCACTCTCGCCTGCATTTCGCACACTCGACACGCACGATCTCCGCAGAGGGTTGGGCGTGCACAGACCCAATCGCACTCTCGCCTGCATTTCGCGCACTCGACACGCACGATCTCCGCAGAGGGTTGCATTTTTGGTTGACGCTGTTCGTCCCACCCTCCGCCTTTAAGAGAGAATTTATAAAGTGGGGAAATGTTCTTCATTAGGACATCTCCCGTGCAAGTTTTTTCCAATACATGCATACTCATTGCATACTCATGTATACTTGCCGTTGCATGCTACTTGCATCCTTTCACTAGGATACTTGCCGTTGGATGCTTACACTGGGGCACGTATAGAAGTGTAAGTGTTCATGTTCATGTTTGTTCATGTTCAGCGTTCAAGTCTACTTCTCGCAATGTCACTGTTCAAGTGCAAGTGTGGAAGTGTCAAGAGATTTTCCAGAAGAACCCTTCGCAATGCTTTCGGGAAAAAGTCAGAAAAAGTGATAAAAAGTGAGAAAGAAAGAAAGAAAGACAGACAGACAGACAGAAAGAAAGAAAGACAAAGAGAAAGAGAAAGAGAAAGAGAGAAAGAGAGAAAGAGAGAGAGAGAGAGAGCGAGCGAGCGAGAGCGAGCGAGCGAGCGAGCGAGCGAAGAAGGAAGGGAGGGAGGGAGGGAGGGAGGGAGAGAGGGAGGGAGGGAGGGACGGGGAGAGAAGGAGACAGAACGAGTTGCAAATTACTCCTTTCCTGCTGACATAGTGACATACTTTGTCTTGGCGGCCTTTGTTCTCTGTTGATTCGGTGTCTTTTTGTCCAGTGCCCCAGTGCTGCGCAGATGCATACATCAGCTGCTGCACAGCTTCGAAGTGACTGAAGGGCCTCCGGCGATGGGCTTGTCGCAAGTGCTGCGGCAGCTCTCGACCTGCCAATTGTAAACTACTACTGAATCCACAACCATCAACAAGTTGTAAGGTTACACTTGAAAAATACAACATGATACAACCATGGGTCAATCCAGCTCATGCGGCAGGAATTTGTCAAAAGTCTAGCTGAAATGCCGAGCTTCCAGAAAAGTTTATCACGAAGAAATTGGAGCAACAAACTTATCATGATGCCATTGAGTGTGCGTCAGGAGAGCGGCATCTAAAAGCGCAAAGAAAACTGACAAATGTCTTGAAATTGCTCGTGCCAATGTATGCATGGAATTGGGAAGGAAGGGAACCAAGACTGACACCTTCTTTCTAACTACCTTCAAATTGGCTGGATAGCAGCTTGGCTGCCTCAACAGTAGGAATACTCAACATTTAGTTAACAGAATATTATTAAACTAAACTTGACTGCCACTGAACAAGCGCACCACTTGGCTGATGCAGCACTTTGTTTGCTTGATTGTGTGTAAAGTGCATGTTGCTTGAAACATGTGGAAAAATGATGTGCAGTCCGGCTATGTCCGGCTTGCTGGGAGCTCTAGACTCTTAGCTGGCTTCGTTTGTCCAGGCCTGTTCCAGTATGTGAAGCATATAGTGCGAGGCACTCCGGATCCAAAACGAAGTGTTCGAACAAATGAGACGGAAACTCCTGAGTCACCAAGCAAATAAAACAGCCACACAACCTACCTGTGCAAATGAAAGTATGCAAAAGAAAACAATCATGGAGGGCGGGCGGGAGCTTGCTTGAAGAAGCCTGAGCCCTGGCAGCTTGCTTGCGATACTAGTTACCTCTCCAACCCTCTAAAAGATGACAAACAGCCTGTTGACATGTGTTGGCTGCGATCCAGGACTCAACAAAGTCGATGGTTCCACGTGTGCCAGAGAGATGCTGAAACTGCGTCTCCGATAGCAACGAATGCACTGCATGTCCAATCTCATGCATAAAGGTGGCTGCAAAGCCTGCTGTCAAACCACGTGCTGCGGGTGGCAATGCATAGACCAAGCAGGTCTTGGGAGTTTGACGCCCTCCATCATCCAGTAATTTTGACCCCTGGAGGGTAAATTGTGCTGATTGGACTCTTTTGCCAGCGCGTTGGAATGGATCTAAGTACAAAATACCAAGGATTTCATCTTGATCCCGTATCGCATACTTTTGCACTGAAGGATGCCAAAGTTCACCAGCTTCAGGTTCCTCTTGAGTGAACTGAAGGCCAAGTAGACGTGAAAGTATGAGTTCGACGCCTTTCATTAGTGAAGCATATGTCAGGTACTCTGAAATTTCATCAGCCTCTTTGTGCTTCTGCTTGCATAGATGTAGCAAGTACGGAACGTCCCAAGGTTGGAGGTGCGTTTCGTTGCTTAAGGACTTCTTCTCCTTGGACAGGAGATGAAGCTCAGCTACAAAGCCAGGCCTCAACTGTTGCCAAGCAGAATCAAGGAAGTTCTGGACACGCTGTGGGCTGGAGAAGAGCGCATCACGCTGCGCGTAGTGAGCCCAGCTTTCATATCCACGGATCTTTGCTAGTCTTTGACGCGTGGCCAACAAAGAAACCATGTGTTCTTCCCCAATTTTGTCCCGTCCTTGCTGTGCTTCGTAGACTCTCCGTCGTGCGTCCTGGTCTGGAGACTTCAGAATGTGATCCGCCAGCACTGAGTCCCGTGGGATGAGCACTTCATCCTGTCGATGTGGCAATCCACCAACTTGGCCTCTGAAATCTCCCAAGCTCGCGAGCGGAACCCAAGCGCCTTCTTCAGAAGCTTGATGTCGCAGCTGCTCTTGTCGGTTGAGGATGTCAAAAGAGAGCTGCTGCTCTGAATCCAAGAGCTGTATGCATTCCTCTTTCTCAGCCGCTGGCAAGTGGATGCCCTCATGCTCCATAGAGACTCGCATGTGATGCAAAACTGTCCGTGCTTCAAGTGACATCTCTTGAAATTCATGTGAAGCTTCAGCCTTTTTCATGGGCTCGTAAACGCCAATGTCAAGGTTCACCTCACTCATAAACCCTGCAATCTCTTGCACCGCCGCAGAAGCATTGGAGACGTAGCTTTGTTGTGGATGGACATTCCGCACCAGTTCCGCTGCATCTGCGATTTGGCAAAGATGGTTGGAGACCCCATCCACCAGTGCAACCAGTTTGCTTGGGCTTACGTCCTTCAAACCAGCCAACTCCTTCCGACTGTCTCGGACAGCATCAGCAGCCAGTACAGGGAAGTCTTCCGCGCTGTCCAGGCTCTTGATGCCAAGAAGTTGTCCCTAGGTGGAACATCGTGTGCAAATACAACAATCTTCAGATGCAACTTTGCAATGCTTCTTCAAATTGTGGCGAAGGCCTGATTGTTTCATTATTTTCAATGTTCGGCCTGTGACTTCCGGAAGAAAAAGGTACGAATGCGCTGGCAACCAGGTGCGTTCACCTGTGCAAGGCCTAGGAGTGTCTCAAAGACTAGCATCGTCCCCAAACAAACAATGGATTGTCACGCTACTGAACACAGAAGTGCCACACCTGCAATTTGTGCGTATGTCATCTAAGGTGTCAACGTATTCCGGCACATGCATGTCCAGCCAGCATGGCCACTGGGACATCACTATATTGCTGCGCTTGGTCTAGGAAGTTTGATTTTGCAGTCTATGCAAGTCGAACCTTCCGAGCTCCTAGCCTCTCTCTCAAAAGCAGCGTGCATGGTCTTTTCTGCTACCTAGTTTTAGATAAACTAAATGCCGCAAGTGAGTTCACGCGTACTTGTCTCAAAGGCTTGGCGCAAACGCTGCGGAAATTCCAGAGCTGCACTTGCTGTCAAAATGCTGAAACCGTGTTCCAAAGTCCAATGCTCAACAGACTGGGGCACCAGCACAGCAAGGACCAAGCCAAAAGCAGACAAACCACAGGTGAGAATGTGCAAGAACCTCAAGCTTCTCTCAGCTTCGCCCAATTGGGCTCCATCGGCTCCATCGGGCTCAGCAGTTTGAACAAAGTCGCAAAACCAGCTGTGAACTCGTGCCTGCGCCGTCTTAGTGCAGATGCCTGTTCCAGAATCCTGGGAAGCGCCTATCAACTCATTGAGGGAAGCACCTCTGTAACTACATGTAACTATATACATGTTATCTGAGAGCACTTTCCTGCCATGACTGAGAATGCAAACAGCGATTCCATGACTTGTCTTGCAATCAAACATTGAAGAAGCTTGAGACCTCTCCAAGCTTCACCATCACGAGGACCCATGCTGATGCAACCACCACACCCATGCCTTGTGACAGGCGAAGCTGAAGCGAAAGTCACGCTGAATGAACTGGCTCTGAGAGTGTTGCTGAGGGGAAGAAAGTCAGAGATTGGTTTGGCCTTGAGCGTTGTCTTAAGTGAACATCTGGTTGGTTCGAAGTCACAACAAGACCAATCAGCAATGTCTGAGTCTGTGGGTTGGTGCCTGGGAAGATAAAATGCAACGTACGATAAGCCTCGAGCACATGGCGCATCGTCACAGCTGCAACAATTCCAAGGCACATGTCAGTGTCTTTGGAGGGTAGGACTACAAGCATGGAAGGGACGGTAAGTTGCCTTTCTGTCACAAAACACGCTGGACTAGCATTGTAGTACATATATTATTGCAATGGCATGGTTGCAAAGCATCAAGAAAAAATTGTTAACAGCAAATTAAAACATGCTCTCTCGCGTGGAAACCTCTCAACTTCTAGCTGTCAAAGAAACACAAACAGTATCAGTATGGGCAATGCCATGGGACATACAGAGCTTTGGATGTTCCCAACGTTCGTTCACCCTTTGTATGATCCTGGCCATTGTGGAAGCTGCTGCATACCACACTTGCATTGCTCACATGGTTTATCCCCTAATGTTGGTGATGCAAATGCCCACAGCATTGTTGTCTCCCGAGTCATGAGTATGAGTAGTATTCGACTCTCTCAAAGCTAACGAGGCTTGACTAAAAACATTACGCCAGCATAGACCTCAGATGGCAAAAGAATGCAAAAGATATTAACAGCACGCAGGCTGCAAAGGGCACACTGCCACATACATGTAGCAGCGGCACCCTGCAGCGGCACCAGCACCCAAACCCCAACACGCTATAAACATCTGGCAGCAACACCTGCAGCGGCACCATACAGCCACACCAGCATCCAGGTTACACACATCTGGCAGCAATGCCCTGCAGCCTGCAACGGCACCAGCATCCAAGTTCCAAAGAGCACACAGCCATAACACCCGGCAACTGCAACGGTGCCGTGATTTGCCTAGCAAGTGCCACGAAGACCGAAGCACTGTAAGCTACCCGATCTCTAGAGGAGAACTGCATTACAGGCCGAAGCTTCCTGCGCAGCAGCAACCTGCTTTTTCTCTCGCAGCCCTGGTGAGGGGAAAACAGCGACCTGCACCAACCAGCCATGCAAGAGGGGCTTGGCTGTGAGGGTCGCAAAGAAATGAGACACCCCACCCACCGGCGCTTTGTCCCTTCACATCCATGGGTCTTTACCCCGCAAAGTGTCCACTTTGTGTACCTTGGCTTTGGGCAAATCTGCCTTGTGCCAGGCCTTGCTGTCGATCAAGACAACATGCTTGCACGGCATGACAGAGTGACGACATGTTATAATGTCGATGTGACAGTGCACACCATACAAGCATGGTGCCTGACGGCATGACAACATGTCGGCACGACAACAAGCCAGCATGATGACATGTCAGCATTACATATGACCTGACAATGTCAGCATCACACCATGCCAGCATATCTGCAAAATTGAACCTCCTGCAGAACCGGCTCCGGTCCGGACCCTCCTCCGGAATCTAATACGATCTGCTCCAAAGTCTTTACTAAGGCATACTATGGCTGAAGACCCCTATATAAAAATATCTTTGAAAAAAACATAACACGTCACTCGCCTTCCAAGAGCCAATGGGAGAGCCATGACGAGGGCCTGACTTACTGGCACAACGAGAAACTCCATGAACACGGTGACTCAGCTGCACCGATCCGATAAGCTAAGGTTGACACCATGACAGACCAGCAGCACAAGACCAGTATCCCCGCCACCTCGTGGACAATACCCTGGTTGATTACGATTGCAAGCGAAGTACTGATCCAAGTCCCATCACCTCTTCAGCTAGGCCTCCACGCTCCCAGTGCTTTGCCCCATGTCGCCCAATACACCCATGGGCGCTTCTCCTTCACAGGAAAAATCACAAAGCCGGGAACGCTGACTGGGGCTTTCTGGAGCAAGTGTATGTTCTGTACGACAGTTATAAACTGATTGAACCGTACGAACTCTAGCTATCCCAAACACAGCAAAGGACACAAATAGAACTTAAACCTTGTTCCAAATCTGCCAGTCCACCTTGGACGAGCACTCAGCTCTGGAAAAATCAGGGTCAGTCGAAGGCTCATTTGACGAAGCTGCAGCAGGCTCCCCAACCTTGCATGGAAGCGGATATGTTCAGATGACGCAATCTGTTGGATCAACCTGCAAAGCTCTTTAAGCTCTTAGACGCTCGCCAAGAAGTGTCCCAGGCCAACAAACCGCAGTCCACATCGCAACCTTACATGTGCCATATCGGTTACGTGCATGAAACGTAGGCTTGCAGATCAAATGAAAATATAAAAGCAATAATATAGGCTATACTCACTACAAATCTGCGCTGAGTGCAGGACAGAGCTGAAATGAGCTTCGTCATCACAGGAGAAGTCTCTAATATGCGAATACACTGCAGAACCTTGGATGTGAATTGTATGCGCCCCACATTAGCAAATGAGCTTGTGAATCTCGTAGAGCTATGCAAGCAACCAGTACGTAAAGCTGCAACAGCTCAAGGACGAACAAGGACTGCCCTTCTCCAGCAGACACTTTGCCTCGAGCACACAATGTCCAATACACTCGGACAGGATGCAAGACCTGGCCTGGCGCTGCTTGGCTGGTTCGCGACATGTGACCTGGGTAAAAGCCCTCTTGCTGAGTCAGCAAAAAGTGGAAAATGTTCAAAGTATGTTTTCAATGCCTTTAGTTTCAGTAATCGCACTTGGCACAAGGCTTGTGCTGGTGCTAAGGAAAACTGGATCTCTTCTGTGCAAGCCTTCAAGTGCATCACCTGCCACGCTCAGTTCTGTATCAGGCAAAAAAGGCATACTGAAGGAGTTCGATTCCATTCGGAGAATCATGATGTAAATTGCAAATTGCTGTCCTGAATTATGACTTTCGGTCTAGAGTCTAGAGTGCACCTGCATGTTCCAACAGAATTGGAAAGAGAGCGTCGCCGAAAAGCCTCCACCGAAAAAGACACGAGAGCAAAGCAGGAACAAAGCTAAAGCTGCTCCAAGACCTGCCTGTCCAGCAGATATGCCGGCATGTACCACATAGTGAAAACCATTGGAGTATGCAAAGCAACCTGAAGCGCACAAAAGGACTTTTCAGTTCCATTTTGGTAAAACTTTGCCCCAAGACTCTAACGTGCACAAGACCCAACTTCAGAGTAGCCCAATGTGGTGGCATTGGCCTCAGAATTTCATTTTTTCTTATCGAAAGTGACTAGACGACAAACTGAGGGAAAAGCAAAGAGTCGTTGGCCCCTGAGAAACAGAAACACAAAGTACAAACGCTCTTCTCATTAAAGTATGTAAGAAAAGGGAAAAAGGATAGAAGAATTAAGCTCTAGAAGAAAAGGAAAGCAAGACAAATCTAAGAACGGGTAAGAAAATAAGGTGCTTGCTAACTTACTATGAGTTGCAAATGCAACAACTTTCTTCACAACGTGCTCACGCCTCCCTCCTCGCTCATGGTGCCGAAGAGTCGCCTCACCAAATCATGAAGGCCAATACCCCATGTGAGATTCGTGTGCAAACATATATTATATATGATATGGAATGTTACGCAGTACCCTGAGTCCGTATACTATATACTGTATACTGAGCAGACTATAGGTCCGGAAGGTACACCCTTGTATACATTGTCTTGGCTTGCACATTTGTACATTTTGATGATGTGAGCTTGCTTGACTTTGCACTATATGGCCCTTCACCTCTCAAGCTTCTCATGGATTGTCAAAGTACAGTACTCTGTGCTGTATGCTATATGGCTGTTCTTACTGATCATAAATCTGATGAGTGTGGGTAACCAACAAACAAAGCAGCGAGTTGGGAGGCCTATGGCAATTGATAGCTCCCACGAAGAAGTTGACTGATGCACGCCTTAGACTTGGACCCTCTGCTTCCCGCAGCATGCAACCTATTCTAAGCAGAGCACCGAATTGCTTCAGGTAGCAGAACCTTATCGGCGAATTACAGCACATAGCTGCATAGCTACTGAGCTGAAGCTTGGACTCTGAAAGAAAGCCCTGAGGGCCGGAGGGAGCTTCCTTGAAGTAGATTTTAGGGAAACTTAACCCAATAGCGATGGCCTCCAACCTAATAGCGATGGACAAATTCACAAATCCAAGATGCACTTGCAATGCACCCTTCCATGAAGGCAAAGCCCCACAAGTGCACATAGCCAATGAAGAGTTGCATGACCTGCAACTGTGCAAGTGGCAAGGAGTGCCTCGTCATTCCGCATTGCTGAGGCGTGAACAAGTGAGATGAGGGGGTTGGCGTTCATGATGGAGGCTCTGTCATGCTGCGAAAGGTGAAGTACCTCTTTATTGCATCTTTTGATCCGACACCTGCTAATCGTATCCGCTGAGGCAACTGGGATAGGCCCACTATGCAACAAAAAATCTAGGGCACGGGACCACAAAGAAAGCACAGGACCAAGTGCCCCACGTAGGCGGGGAAGACCCTTAGAACAGCAGCTTTCAACTGTCTTCCGCAGCTCTATAGTATAGCCACACGACTCTATGGTGGTCTCAGCAGTAGGTCCCACACACCCATTGCAGAATGGCAACAGATAAGCGCTGAAGCCTCCACCTGACCAATATGTCTGTTACACCATGAAGCCCACATGTTACCTCATCCTTCAAACGATAGAATAGAAACAAAAAACCCTTCAAACTGGTCTGTGGCTTCTGTGTCACTTAGCACCGAACCATCCTTCCGAGGCACAATTGCATAGTTGCGTCTGTGCAATGCTTACCAAAGTTCTGAGTGCCTCGAAAATGAATGAATGTAGAAGCAAAACAAACTGCTTGAGTCCACTTCATTTGTGGCCTGCCCGCTTCTGGAATTGTGGCCAGCTGCAGCTCCAAGCAAAAGCATGAACAACACCTTGGAGATGATCCGTATCTCATTGCTTCTCTACAAGTGCAAAAGCACTGTTCAATGGACAAATACAATGGATTATATAAGTTAAAGAGCGAGTTTTCAAAGAACAAGAGTACGCTTGGTTGATCCCTGGTTGCGTCTCCCAAGATCAGGGCAAAAA